GTTCAGATAAGCTATAAGGGACTGAATTAAAACTATGATATGGAAAGGAAAAGGAGAAAGACTTCAGATATAGTCATAAGATTTCTCAATTACTCAAAAGTGCTGGGTGAGAGAAAGGGAATGGTGTGGAATGAATGTCAGGCTCGGGTGATTAACTGGGACAGAGGACAACTGGTATGGAGGACAGGGAAGATAATGGCGAGCTCTGTCCAGGACATTTTTAGATGGACTTGGCTTTGGAATACTCAAGTGGAGATTCCGCAGGCAGTTAGAATTCAATCTTTAAGCTCACTAGAGATCAGAACAGATGCTGTACAATCAGAAGTCATCAGCAAATTGACTTGCAAATAAGCTACTGGCACCCTAACTCAAAGGATTAGATATCAGCAGCCAGCAAGAACTGTACATTCTGTTATATGCACACAGAGAAAAGAGAAGCTCCAGGCATACTCTAGAAGGGATGGCTATATTTGGCTATAATTTCAAACTTTATTCTCCAAGATTGGTTTTTATATGAGATATAAGCCATAACATCCCAAGCCAAAACAAAGATTTTCAAAAATTAAGGGTAAACTATTCGTGGGGTGATTACATTTTGTTCAACTGAAAAGTACTAAACACACACACACACACACACACACACGAACTTAATTATGTTGTTTATCTCAGATAATCGCCTAAATGTTGGTGAAAGGGCAAAATATGATTTTTCCCTCTAAACTAAAACACAACATTTTCCAACCCCCCTCCCCACCCAACCCCACAGATTTTTAAACAGCAATCTATAGATTTTTAAAAGGCATTGTATGGAGGCAGGTAATATTATCTCACTTTACAGAGGGGCCAGTTCACAAAAAGGTTAAGGTGATTCCCAAGGGTTGTATAGAGTCAGAGGGCGACTCCTGGAACAAATCTTCAAAATCTTGGATCTCATGCCCAGGGTCCCCAAACTGAGGTCATCCTTCTGGTCACAAGGGCTTAGGCAGATTTATGAGATAAGCAGAAAAGTCACAGCAGTAATGTTAGACTTCATGGTTTGAATGCCAATAGCTCGCTCTTTCTCTGGTATCTAAAAATTCGTCTCCTTTAATTTCTGCCTATTTTTTTTTTTTAAGCCTGGATGCTTTACAGCCTAAACTTGCTTTTTTGTCTGCATCTTCTGGCCCTGAAGCTTGCTGACCCAGAGATGGGGGAGGGGTTGTAGGGGTTTCCTTCTTTCTCTGTGGTGGGAAAGGGCCCCTGATTTTGTCTCATGACACAAAGAAGTGGCATCAAAATCCAGAAACTTGAAATTCTGTGTAAGACTCTGTGCTAAAGATCCCAATGAGGCTGGAAACACTACCCCTGGTTTCTTGTTCTGCAAAAGGAGAAAGCTGGGCTTCATCCTTCTAGGTTATTTTTTGCTCCGTAGGTCCATAACTCTATGTTAAGTGAATAAGTCCATTTGAATGGTAGCATCAACATGTAGCCAATTCCATTCAAATCAACAAAAATGAATAAAAGGTTATATGTCTGTGGTATTTTTGTTCACCAGAATTCTGGGGGCCCCATTTGCCTCCTCAACAGACGAACAGTGTGAGCTGGGGGTCAGGGTGCGGGGGTGATGGCAGAGCCAGCATGCAGTGGGGAAAATGAGACAGGCTGTATAATACATGATGGGGTTTTTCCCTGTGACACCTCGGATCTTCAGTTAAGCACAAAACCCGGTGAGCATTGGAATGAGCATTAAAGAATGAAGTGGACAGAGATGAGAGACACTCCAAAAAAGAGGTATATTGTTAGCCAAGGCCCAGAGTTGAAAAAGCATGGCAGGAATCAGGCCACTGAGGCTGTGGGTGAGATTCAGAGAAGAGAAAACTGATTTAGAGAAGAGTTTGTGCTTAATTCCATAAGTGATGGTAGCCCGCTGAAGATGCAGGGGCATGGGAATGTGGTGATCTGAACTGGACATTGGGTAAAGTAAGTGGACATACCTTTGCAGGATAGGTTGGACAGAGGCAGGGACGAGAGTCAGTTAAGGTCAACTGCAATGATCTAGGCAAGAAGAAAAAGACGGTCTGAACAGGGGAGGTGTTACTGGGCATGAGAGCAGATGGATGTGAGGGGTCTGAAAGAGGAAGCATCTGCAGGAGTTGGAGACCATCATCATCTGGGGAGGCCAAGGAAGAGTGAGAAATCCAAGTGAGTCCAAAGTGTCCAGTCTGAGAGGTAGGGAGGGTGCGGTAGCCTCAACCCTGAGGGAAAACCATGAGGGAGAACCTATTTGGAATATTCAAACTATAAGGAACAATCAAGTGAAGCCAACTGAGGAAGACCTTTGAAAAGGAACAGTTCTGGCCCAGCGTGGTGGCTCACGCCTGTAATCCCAGCACTTTGGGAGGCTGAGGTGGACCAATCTCTTGAGGTCAGGAGTTTGAGACTAGCCTGGCCAACATCAATAAAACCCCGTCTCTACTAAAAATACAAAAATCAGCTGGGCGTGGTGGTACATGCCTGTAGTCCCAGTTACTCTGGAGGCTGAGGCAGGAGAATCACTTGACCCTGGGAGGCAGAGGTTGCAGTGAGCTGAGATTGCTCCACTGCACTTTAGCTTGGGTGACAGAGTGAGAGTCCGTCTCAAAAAAGAAAAAAGAAAAGAAAAAAACAGGAGAAAAAAGAACAGTTATGAGACAGCAGATCCCTTTGTTCTTCTCTTTTTGGTTCTATGCAGTGTTCAAATACCAGTGACTTTCTGGCTTAGTTCCTTCTGTTTAAGGAAGGATACCAGAATTGGAACTAGCACTTAGTAGCTCCCAAAGATTCTTTCCATCTAGGAACCAATTTTGAGGCTCTCAGGAGATTTGATTTTCTCTGTTCAGCTCCAAGGATCCTCTAATTAAAGAAAAAGCTGAAATGCAGCCTAGAGATTAGGTAATCAAAGCATGTTAAAGAAGCCATTGATTCAGAATCTCTCAGAAAAACAAATCTGCTGAGCAGAAATCTCACTTTGCAAACAGAGTCCTTCAGGTAGGAATCCAAGCGGAGAAAAAGGCTGTGTACGGATGTTTCAGGATTATACACGAGCTCTCTTTCTAAAGTCCCTGATCCAGAAAATCAGCCCCAGCGCCAATAGCACAGAAAAAAAAATTGCCCTTCCAGCACTCTGGCTCCCAGTGGCAAGCAGGGACCAGATGGTCAGGCGTTCAGGGGCCTCTAGCTTTTGCAATTACAATGGAGAAAATAGTTTCCAGGGCAGACCCGGGTCAGGGCAGAGCTGTGTCATCAGTGTTTTGCTGCAGGTTAGCTCTTTGCTGCAGATTAGCTTATTGTCTCTGTTATCTTTTTTTTTTTTTGAGATGGAGTCTCACTTTGTCACCCAGGCTGTAGTGCAGTGGTGCCATCTCAGCTCACTGCAACCTCTGCCTCCTGGGTTCAAGTGACTCTCCTGCCTCAATCTCCATAGTAGCTGGGATTATAGACATGAGCCACCATGCCTGGCTAATTTTTGTATTTTTAGTAGAGATGGGGTTTCACCATTTTGGCAAGACGGGTCTTGAGCTCAAATTATTCATTTTCTTCTTTTATCGGTCTTACTTTTGGTTTTATATCTAAGAACTGGTCATCAGCCCTAGATTCTGAGGCTTTTCTCCTATGTTTTCAAATTAAACAAGCAGACATACAAACAAGCATAAGACTTTCAGCACAGAAAAACTGTGAGCACAATGCCTAAGCAATGAGGCAGATTTTCCCAAATGTGCATTCTTTCTGCAGTGTATTAATTTTTATATAAGGTATGAGAGTTACATAATAGGAGTCATGGGAAGTTGGTGTCTGACGGATACAGAGTTTCAGTTCAGGAAGATGTAAAAGTTCTGGAGGTAAATGGTGGTGCTGGCTGCCCAATGGTGTGGCCGTGCTCAATGCCACAGAACTGCACACTTAAAATTAGTTAAAATGATCAATTGTATGTTATATAGATTTAACCACCATTTAAAAAATCAATTGTCCCTACATGTGTGGGTCTATTTCTGGATTTCTATTCTGTTTCATTTGTCTATTTTCTGTCCTTATGCTAATACCATACTCTCTTGATTCCTGTATAAACAAGTATTTGTGCTGGGCGAGGTGGCTCACGTCTGTAATCCCAACATTTTGGGAGGCCAAGGTGGGTGGATCACAAGGTCAGGAGATTCGAGACCAGCTTGGCCAACATGGTGAAACTCCATCTCTACTAAAAATACACAAATTAGCCAGGCATGGTGGCAGGTGCCTGTAATCCCAGCTACTTGGGAGGCTGAGGCAGGAGAATCACTTGAACTCAGGAGGCAGAGGTTGCAGTGAGCCGAGATTGTGCCACTGCACAGTCTTTGTTGCATGGGCAATAAAGCAAAACTCCATCTCAAAAACAAACAAACAAACAAAAATAAACAAGTATTTGTATAAAACAAGTATTACCTTATTTGTAGTACATACTGAAGTCAGATAATATGAATATTTTAACATGTACTTATTTCATGATATTTTTGTCTTTCTAGGTCTTTCAAATTTTCACATGCAATTTAAAATCAACTTGTTAATATCTACCATAAAAATCTTGTTGAGATTTTGATTGAACTTGTGATGTACCTTTGATCAGCTTGGCAAGGATTGACATCTTGACAATATTGAGTCTTCCAAACATGATATATTGCTTCATTTATTAGGCCTTGTTTAATTTTTCTCAGCAATGTTTTGGTTTTCAGCATAATGATACAACTCTTGTTAAATTTATTCCTAAACATTTTTGCTTTGGTGCTATTGTGAATGAAATAGCTATTTTCCAATTGTTTGCTACTATTTGTATTTAGAAATACAAATGACTTTTGTATATTCTCCTTGTATCCCTCAACCTTATTAAATACACTAACTAGTTGTTTTATTGATTTCTTGAGGTTTTATTCACAAATAATATTGTCTGTCATTATAATTGTCTTATTTTTCCTTTACAATTTTTGTGACTTTTATTTCTTTTCTGACTTCATTGCATAGACTTCTAATAAAACCTTGCATAGAAGAGGTGCTAGCAGACATCCTTGTCTTTTATCTTAGGGAGAAAGTATTCAGTATGTAACCATTAAGTATGATGTTATCACCATGCTTTCTTTAATAATATCCTTTATGATCTTGAGGAAATTTCCTTCTATTCCTGATTTGCTGAGAGTTTTGATCATAAATGGACGTTGATTTTTGTCAAATACTTTTTCCGCATTTATGGGGAGGGCCATATGGTTTTGCTCTTTGATGGTGAATTACATCGATTTTCAAAGGCTGTCACAAGCATATTTACTAAAAGTTCTTTTCACTCTCAAAAGTGCTCCATATTTTATAACAACTTATACAGTTACTTCTTCTAGATTCCCATTTCAGTTTTACACAACCACGGAGACTCTTCCAATTTGCAGCTTTAAGAATCTGCTACTCCTGGTAACTTGGATTTGCTTGGCTCCATCAGAAAGCCTAAGAGTAAGAGGCTTCCCTGGTACTAGCGTGTAGGCTAGAAACTTGGGAACCTAAAGGATTTCTTACCTGGTGAGATATTTTCTGATATTTTTTAAAAACAGAGTTCTAAATCTTTCCTAGCTCTCCAAGTGCCACCCCCTGGGTGGTGTTTAGGCCCACAGGGAAAATCCAGCGTGTGGACCCCTGAAGGGAGTTAGTATTCATCCTTTGTTTACCCATTGCTCCCCACCCTGTACATCAAAAAGCCAGATCTTCAACAATTGCAGCCTCCTGGAGATTTAAAGCTAAAGTGAAAATGTTAAGTGGTAAAAGAATGGCCTTTTATATTTATATAATCAGTAAATATATGTACACATATATTTTGTTTTATAGCTTTAGGAGATACAAGTACAGTTTTGTGACATGGATATACTATATAGTGGTAAAGTCAGGACTTTCAGTATAAACATTACCCAAATAGTGTACACTGTCCTTATTAGATAATTTCTCATCCCTCAGCCCCCGCCCACCCTCCTACCTTTCTGAGTTTCCAATGTCTATTATTCCACTTTCTATGTCCACATGTTCATTTGGCTCCTACTTATAAGTGAGAACATGGGGTGTTCGGCTTTCTGTTTCTGATCTGTTTCATGTAAGATAATGGCCTCTAGTTTCGTCCACACAAATATATTTAAACGAATACTCCAAACCTGGAGTGAGAAGTGTCTCCTGGGAGTTTTCACTGCAGCCTGGGGGCACTTCAGCGGAGAAGTCAAAGTCTTTGAGAATTCCTATTAAACACTACCTAAAATAAACATGAACAGGAGCTGATTTCATTGAGTAAAGGTAGATGGCATTTTCGTAGCATCTTTAAATGAAATCTTCCATAGGCTGGGATTTCAGAGACCTGGTTTTTAATTTTAGCTTTGTCTTGAACTCTGTGTGTAATCTGAGGCAAGCTATGCCGCATACACTACTGCCACTACCACTACTACTACTAACTGAATATTTATATAGAACTATGCCAGATATTTCACATATATTATTTCACTCTTATAAAAAGGGAAAGATTGGCTGAGCATGGTGGCTCGTGCCTGTAGTCTCAACATTTTGGGATGCTAAGTTAGGAGAATCACTTAGTCCTAGAGTTTGAGGCCAGCCTGGACAACATAGTGGGACCCCATTTGTACTATTTTTTTAAATAACAAAAAAATGAAAAAAGAAACTCAAGAGTAGAGACAAGAAATATTCAAAAATAATAATACCTGTCACTGTGAAAAAGACTTGTCACCAAGTATCTCATTGAAAATTCACAACTTCCCTAGGAGGTGGGTTCTATCACCCCAGGAATGTGAGACTCAAACAGACTACCAAGGTCAGGCAGCTGGCAGATGGCAGAGCTGAAATTCAAATCCAGGCAATCCAACCCTAAAATGCTTGTTTTAATTGTAATGCTGAACTACGCCTGTCCTAACATGGAAGGTAAATAGGCAGAAAAATAGACAGCTTTTCAGAGGATCATGATTACAAGGACAGAAGAACAGTCTAGTACTCACATTACTTTAACCATTAACCTCACAGCTACCGTTTTTGAGTGCTTATCTACAAAAATTTTTTCCTAAAGCATTTTTCACACATTTCTTTTTTAACCCATGGAACAGCTTTTTGCCATCATCTGGCCTCAGATCTGCAGTTCTGTGGCAGTGCCTCCGTGTCATCTCTGCCACCTTGGTGTGAATGCCCCTTTTCAGGCTCAGCCACTTCAGACTCTGCAGGTTTCCCTGCTTTGCTCACTGCTGAGTTTCCTGGAACCCACTCCCTTCATGGAAAACAATCCAATCCTTGGCCCCAGGACACCTGACCTGTTTATTGGCCAACTCCCAGCCCTCATCAACTATTGTTAGAGAATAGGATTAGACAGCTGGCCCTACATCCACAGGAGCACCTGATGCAATGTTTTTAAACCTGGACTAGGCCACCTGAACAATTTGCAACTAACTTGTTTTCCTCCTACACCAGCTTTAAAATGGAATCCAGTGAAAGGCAGACTTAGGGTCTCTACCAGATAGAACAGCAGCCAACGCAAGGCAAAGAGAGCAGAATGCACAAAAATTATATCATGCATTACGGGGCAGGACAAGAAAGCCAGGAGCCACGTGGAGGGAGGGTCAGAATCTGAGGGTTAAACGATTAAACCTAAACATTTTAAATTTTTAATTTTTAAATTTTTAATTTTAATTTTAAATTTTTAATTTAAAATTCAGGTCTTGCGTTGGAGTCTTGACTAATTTAGTTTTGTATCAGTCAAGGTCATGTGAGCACCCAGCGCCTGAAGCATGGACAGGCAGGAACCCAGGGCAGCGGTTGTGACTGGGGAGCAACCTCATGTTTTTAAATTAACCGCTTCCCTCAGTGGGTGGCAAAATAAAAGAGAACATGAAGTCACTCAGTGTGCACCGAGATGGAGAACTCTTGGGCTTGGATTTTAGCACCATTTTGTCCCTGATATAAAGTGTACGATCTTGCCGCAATGTGTGATTCTGAATCCTTGGAGGTCCCTGAATTGTCTATGAACTAAAGATGTGAGTAGAATATTATTTTCAAAGCAGATAACATTATGATTTCTGCATATTCTTTCAGGATTCTTCAGTCTCTGGTCCTCCAAGCAGACTTCCTGAGTCTTATTTGCAGAGGGAATTGTCTCTAGATGTTTGTGGATTCCTTGTGAGCCAATGGCACTGAAACAGCATGAGAAACTACTCCTGGGACTTAGTCATCTTTAGACCCAGAGCCCATGGAAATGTCTGTCTTCCTGGGGCTTGAAGGGGTCGAGGGATGAATACCAGACCCACCCCTATCCTCTGGGCAGAAGCTGATTATTTCCCACAGTCTCCTGGCCCAGACACAACGTCTTTAGAACAGAGCCAGGAATGTTTCCTGGAGTTTAATGCCGCCCGGGGGTCATGGGAGCGACGTTGCACAATGATTAATGACAGGGAACGCTTAGTCAGGATTATGTTTAATTTATACTTAGGTGTTGGCAATTGCTCGTAGACAATTATTTCTCCAGGATGTCTTCTGATTCCCTCTGAGCTGTATGACTATCACTGTTAGATGTGTATTTGGGATCCCAGAACTTCATGAATAGCTAATGGAAGACCCAGGATTGCCAGCATGTTCCTATCTAGCACCTGTCTCCCATTGTTCCATATTTATCTCTACTATATTTCCTCAAACGATCATACTTTCTTCCATTTATAGATCTGTTCGGCTAGTTGCATACTGCCAGAAAAAAGAGAGAGAGAAAAAACAGAACAAAGGGAAAAAATGAGTATCCTTATATTCTGGGGTATTTGCATTCCAAAGTCCATGAAATAAGGCGTATAATTCTGTTACTTTATTTTAAATAGCCATACTTAATCTGATTCTTTGACAATTTTTGACTCAGCTCAAAATACAGATACTCATCTCAATCTCTTATATTTAAATTTTGATGTAAAATCTGAATCTCTCAGATTTGTTTTTTTAGAGAAAATGAGGTTTCATGTGATTTCCTGAGGAAACTGGAAATTTAACTACTTCAGTAAATAAGAAGCAAAAAAAACAAAAATTGCATCATGATCGTAGGAAGGGAGAATCACTCTGACATGGTCATATTGCCTTGGTGGGCTGAAATCTGGAGATCTCTATGAAAATAGCTGATGAACACTTGTTTCTGTTGCTTCATCAGGTTTCACTACTATGATGTTACTATTCTCAGGTGAGAAGCCTAGGTTAGCCTCCTGTGGCTTGGTTCCTACTGAGCATGTTGGGGAGAACCTGATTTCCACATTCATGTGGGTCAATTGGCTATGTGAGCTCCAGCTTCTTCTCGATGCTGCGGTCAAACAATGACCACAACAAGAATTTAGTCACAGTAATCCTCTCTTTTATCTACACGATCTCATGTCATCATTTTATTCTTTTAATATAATGAGGGTAATTTGGTATCAAGCTATAGTTGAACTGTTTCCTTCTCCTTTTTCAACTAACTTCTCAGTTGAGGGAAAAAAATCAGTTTCCAGACATGTAAATTAAATTAATCTTACCGTCTTCTCAGACGTTAGGCTTGATCCGAAGCCCACCAACATGTGTGCCATATCCTGGGAAAATAAGACCAAATCTGTCTTTTAAAAATGATTTTGAGTGCCTGGGTGGGTATGGTGGCTCACACCTGCAATTGCAACACGTTGAGGGGCCAGGGTGGGCAAACTGCTTGATCCCACAAATTTGAGACCAGCCTGGGCAACATGGTGCGACCTCGTCTCTACAAAAAATACAAAAATTAGCTGGGAGTGGTGGCACATGCCTGTAGTCCCAGCTACTTGAGAAGCTGAGATGGAAGGATCGCCTGAGCCTGGAGAGGTAGAGGCTACAGTTAGTGGTGATGGCACCACTGTACTCCAGCCTGGGGGACAGAATGAGACCCTATGTAAAAAATAAAATAGTTATGGTTATTTTATACTTGAGAAGTGTTTGTTGTCAACATAGCATCTTACCTATGAAATATGACCCAATCTTATTATTGAAACTGAAACTTGTGGATTAATTTTAATTAACATCCCTTTTTAAGTATCTAGTGCTATGAAAAGGTAGACATTGGCTGGTGTAGGAAGGTGGAATGAGTCTTGATTGTCTTCACAAACTGACAACAGCAGGCAGGGAATCCAGGGTACATAGGACAGAATGGAGTTTGCCAAGACACTTGAAAAACAACTGGTTTTTGTATATTTCTTTTAACTGTGACTTTGTGAAACATATTTGGGTGATTTAGTTAACCTCACTAAGCCTCACTTATTCAGTTGTAAAAGGAAAAAAATAATTGAAACGAATCCATTGCTTTATTGTGAGGATTAAAGCAGAGGCGGCATGGGCTGGGCACTAATAAACAATAAATATTAGCCTTTTTTTTTTTTTAAATGAGGGCCGAACAATTAGAGCCTCAAGTGTCACATTCAGTGTGATTCAAGTCATACCCTCTCACTTGAAGTCGAGGGTCACAGGCTTTTATTCCAAAACTTCTGTAAAGTCCCGTCGTACTGAAGTCAAAGGATTAAAGAGTTTCCAAAATATTTGGACCCTCTTAAAATGATTCAGGGTGAGCCTTCTACTGAGCCCTGATAAAGAAAATCAAACATAAGTTAAGAATCGACCCATCACAGTTAAAGCGTACTTGCTGCTCAATTCTAAGGCATGCTTTTATATATATTTTAGTGTTGGTGGGGGTTTTTATTTGTTTTTTTTATTCCTGAGATGGAGTCTCACTTCCATCACGTAGGCTGGAGTGCCGTGGCATGATCTCCACTCACTACAACCTCTACTTCCTGGGTTCAAGCAATTTTCTTTCCTCAACCTCCCTAGTAGCTGGGATTACAGGTGTGTCACCACACTTGAATAATTTTTGTATTTTTAGTAGAGACTGGATTTTGCCATGTTGGTCAGGCTGGTCTCGAACTCCTGACCTCAGGTGATCCACCCACCTCAGCCTCCCAAAGTGCTAGGATTACAGGCATGAGCCACCACACCTGGTCATATTTTAGTGTTCTATAAATCAGTTTGCTTTAATCAATTTTGCCTTTAATCAATATCTACATGTAATTTAGAGTTTCTCTCTTCTGCCCATCCCCTTCTGAATTGATGGTTTGTCTCAGAATCAATGTTGATGTAAAATTAAGTACAGTGTGGGCATATGTTATTTTTAAAATCCTCTGTGAGTTTCATAATTTCTTTTATAAAAACCATCTTATTCGGTAAGAATTCATGGAATATTGGCATTTATCAGGATGTCTATTTTAATATGGAGTTCATTCTGATGGAAAAGCTTAATTGAATTACACCTCAGGCCCATCTTTGCTTTTAGTTCTCCACAAAAAGCCCACATGAATGAGCCACTTTGTCACTTCTCTTAACCATAGGACTAAAGTCTAGGAGGAAACAACACTTCTGGAATGAAGCCATGCAATCCCTGGAAAGGAACTCAGCATCAACTCAGGCAGCGACCCACCGTGACCCTGTTGGTTGGCCATACGAACACCTGCGAGGCAAACCCCATGATTTTCTCTGGGTTCTGCCTCTGCCAAATATTTTATGCTGGGTCTAAAAAGAATGAGAATGGTTTTCTATGAAGACCAGTGTATAAGGACAGAGCAACATTCCTCAGCTTCAAATATTTATAATTTTCTTCTTCTAGTATTAGCAAATTTTGGCTTTAGATGATACTAATGCATATAGATAAGAGATGTGTTATCAATATAAGCATATTGATGAATATTACATATAATATTTTATAAAATATATTAACTCTAATCTATATGTCTAACAGTAATATAATTTATATCATTAATATTATAGTACAGTAGGCTCTCTGTGTTCATGGGTTCTCCCACCAGCCACAGATTGAAAATGTTTGAAAAAAAGGGATGATTAAATCTGTACTGAAAACATACAAACTTGTCATTATTCCCTGAATAATACATTATAACAACTATTTACATAGCATTTACATTGTATTAAGCATTATAGGTAGTCTAGAGGTGATTTAACATATACAGGAGGATGTGCATAGGATCAATGCAAATACTATGCCATTTTATATCATGGGCTTGAACAAACAAGAATTTGGTATGGAAGTGGGGGCTGGAGTCTACCCTATTGAGGGACAACTGTAATCACATATATTTATTTTTTGGTAATACCACTATCAGCAAATTCTACATCAAACAGAGCAAGATTCGTAGACATTACATAGACAAATGCATATTTGAATTATAGAATGTTGGGCTGGATTGTATAGATCTATAAAGATGCTCTATCATTTATCAATTAAGCAATGTTCAGCTTAGATTTTTGGCTAATTTGAATTTATTTGACTTTGAAAGTGGAAGAAGTTAAAGTTATAATTCAGTGATAAAATAAGAAAGATTATGATATTTGAGAATAGTATTTTTATTCTTCACTGGAATCTCTATACCTGGCAGAATGAGTGGCTAATTTTACAAACAATGCAAAGCCCTGTTAGGAAAGGAAGGAGGCCAGGCCCAATGGTTCACACCTGTAATTCCAGCATTTGAGAGGCTGAGGCAGGTGGATCACTTGAGCGCAGGAGTTCAAGACCAGCCTGGGCAACACAATGAAAACCCATCTCTACAAAAAATATAAAAAGTTAGCCAGGCGTGGTGGAATGTGCATGTAATCACAGCTACCAGGAAGGCTGAGGTGGGAGGATCCCTTGAGCCCAGGAGGTGGAGATTGCAGTGAGCCGAAATCATGCCAATGTTTTCCAGCCTGAGCAACAGACTGAGAACCTATCTCAAAAAAAAAAAAAAAAAAATCAGTTAAAAAAAGAGAACAGAAAGGAGACATCCTTCTTATTCCACCTGGTTAAGATTTTCACCTTGGGGACAGTGCTGTGGATGAGGATAATAAAATTACAGATGTATAAAAATACTCTGATAGAAAAATTAGATGAGAGTGAAAACTAACAAAAGAAAAAGTGCATATGGTCAATTCACATATGAAATATATATAACCTTACTAATAAAGCAATGCAGTAGAAATTACAATTTTAATGTATCATATTTACCTTTCATACACAGATGCAAAAAAATTATTTCCCTTGATGAGCACATGGCAAAATAAACATTCTCATACACTCCAAGCCACTTTTCATTGGAAACTCCACAACTCCACAAAATACATTAAAAGCCTTAAAAATCTTTAAGCCCCACCCAATAAATTCATTTTTAGAAATATACACTAAGAGGAAAAAAGAGATGCATGTTAATTTTATGTTTAATGATAATTACTATAGTATTATTACTTTTAAGAGTCAGAATTGGAGACCTAATGTGTTCCATAAGAGAACAAACAAATTTATGAATATGAAATACTTTAGAGTAATTAAAAATGTTTTCAAATAAATATTTAACAACATGGAAAAATGTTAATGATTAGTGGGAAACTGCAATGTTGTATGAAAAAAGCAGGGAAACTATATTACATATATATTCTATTTCCAATTTATTAAATGGATATATACAGAAGTTTTCCAGTGACCAACATTGTGGTCATATTTTTTAGGGACATAGGAAATGTCACATTGGGTCAGGTTCAGTTTCAAAAGTCAAAGGAGTCTCCAGGCCACATTTCAGGAGGACATAATTGCCCTCCCTAAGGAGGGTTTATTATTAAACCTAAACTTCCAAAGAGTTTAGGTTTAATAATAAGAGCCAGGGCCAGCGTGGTGGCTCACACCTGTAATCCCAGCATTTTGGGAGGCTGAGGCGGGTGGCTCACACCTGTAATCCCAGCATTTTGAGAGGCTGAGGCGGGGGGATCGCCTGAGGTCAGAATTTAGAGACCAACCTGACCAACATGGAGAAACCTCATCTCTACTAAAAATATAAAATTAGCCAGGCATGGTGGCCCATACCTATAATCCCAGCTACTCAGGAGGCTGAGGCAGGAGAATCACTTGAACCTGGGAAGTAGAGGTTGTGGTGGGCTGAGATTGCTCCACTGCACTCCAGCCTGGGCAACAAAAGCAAAACTTCATCTCAAAATAATAATAATATGAGCCACAACAATATTTTATTCATGTGAGGCACTTTACAGTTGACAAAATTTTTCAGATATGTTTTCCCTCTGGATTCTCAAAAGGATCCTTTGAGGTTGCATAATACTATGTCTGTTTTACAGATGAGAAAATAAAAGCTCAAAGAGTTACCCAGGTGGTGAGTGGCAGAGTGTTCACCTTTGACCATTACCCTTCCCTTTTTCATATTGGCTACTTCTTCTAGAAATATGATTCATAAATACCTTCAGGCAATTTTGGAATACATTTCTAACTCTTTTGTATTCTGTCTCTTAAGAAAATGCATTGTTTGCCTTTAGTCTACCCTATGAGCTCTAAAATTCCCTTGCTTCAGTATCCGTGGGTATATTAACATCATAGCTATTTAACGGTCTTATATATAGTTAGACATAGGGGGTAAGAGTGAGCTTATTCAGGCCAACTACCACCAGCAGCAAACACATTTGCAACCAACTTTCCCAGGAAAGGGGGGGGACAGGAAAAACACCATTTAAAGGGACTTCCCTCAGGCCACAGAGAAAATTTCTAGGAGAGCACTGAGAATCAAGAACTATTAGGATGTATCAGCTAAATGAGGTGTCAACAAAAACCAAGCTTGGTCTTGTATGAAGCCCAGAGCTGGCATTTCCCCGCTCTTGGTCATTCTTTTCCTGTGGCTATCTAGGTCAGGCTTCTCAAACATCACCATGGCAGATGCATCATTTGGAGATCTTGCGAAAGTGCAGACTCTGACTCCCTAGGTCTAGGGATGAGATTCTGCATTTCTTACAAAATCCCAGGTGCTGCTGCTGCTGCTGCTGCTGCTGGTGGTGGTCTAGACCACATTTTCAGAAGTGAGGATTTAAACAGTCGGCACGCGGAGAGCTGGGACAAAGCTTCCACTTGATTCTTATTTGTAGGTTGTTTTTCTACAGCTAAGTCAGTGGCAACTCTCACCCCTTTGTTTCTCCATTAGCAATTGTTCTTTTTTGTCTGTTTTTATTATCTATTTAATTTTTAATTTTGGGAGTACATAGTCGGTGGATGTATTTATGAGGAACATGAGATATTTTGATACAGGCATGCAATGTGAAATAAGCATATCAGGATAAATGGGTCATCCGTCACCTCAAGCATGTAACCTTACTTTTTGTTACAAACAATGCAATTATACTCTTAGTTATTTTTAAATGTACAATAAACTGTTTCTGACTGTAGCCACTCTGCTGTGCTATCAGACTAGATATTATTCATTCTATCTAACTATATTTTTGTACCCACTAACCATCTCCACCTCCTTCCCTCCACCACCTCTGGTAACCATCCTCCTACTGTCTATCTCCACGAGTTTGTTTTAATTTTTAGCTCCTGTGAATAAGTGAGAACATGTGAAGTTTGACTTTCTGTGCCTGGCTTATTTAACTTAATATAATGACTTCCAGTTTCACCCATATTGTTGCAAATGACAGAATCTCATTCCTTTTATGGCTGAACAGTACTCCATTCTGTATATGGACCACATTTTCTTTATCCATTCATCTGTTGATGAGCTCTCAGGTTGCTGCAATGAACATGAGAGTACAGGTATCTTCTATGTACTGATTTCCTTTATTTTTACTAAATGCCTAGGAGTAAATGCCTAGAGCTGGATCATATGGTAGCTCTATTTTTAGTTTTTGAGGAACCTCAAAACTGTTTTCCATAGTAATTGTACTAATTTACATACCCACCAACAGTGTAGGAGGGTTCCCTTTTCTCCACATCCTCACCAGCATTTGTTATCGTCTGTCTTTTGGATAAAAGCTATCTTACTGGGGTGAGATGATATTATATTGTGGTTTTGATTTGCATTTCTCTGATGATCAATGATGTTGACCACCTTTTCATATACCTGTTTGCTATTCATATGTCTTCTTTTGAAAATATCTATTTAGATCTTTTGACCATTTTAAATTGGATTATTAGATTTGTTTTCTTATAGAATTGTTTGAACTTCTTATATATCTGATTATTAATCCCTGATCAGATGAGTAGTTTGTAAATATTTTCTCTCACTCTTTAGGTTGTCTCTTCGCTTTGTTGATTGTTTCCTTTGCTGTGAAGGTTTTTAACCTGATGTAATCTCATTTGTCCATTTTCTTTCCTTGGTTGCCTGTGCTTATGGGGTACTATGTAAGAAATTTTTGTCAAGGACAATGACCTGCAGAGTTTCCCCAATATTTCCTTTGAGTAGTTTAATACTTTGAAGTCTTATATTTAATTATTTAATACAATTTGACTTGATTTTTGTATATGGAAAGAAAGGTTTAGTTTCATTCTTCTGAATGTAAATATCAAATTTTCCCAGCACTATTTATTAAAGACACTATTTTCTTCCCAATGTAGGTTCTTGACACCTTTGTCAAAAATGAGTTCACTGTCGACACATAGATTTGTTTCTGGTTCTCTGTTCTGTTCCATTGATCTGTGTGTTTTTATGTCAACATCATTCTATTTTAGTTACTATAGCTTTGTAGTATAATTTGAAGTCAGTGTTTTGTTTTGTTTTGCTCAGGATGGCTTTAGCTATGCTGGGTCCTTTGTGATTCCATATATGTTTTAGAACTGTTTTTTGTATTTCTTTGAAAAATGTTATTGGTATTTTTATAGGACCTTGAATCTGTAGATTGCTTTAGTTAGTATAGAAATTTTGACAACATTAATTCTTCCCATCCATGAACATGGAATATCTTTCCATTTTTTGTGTCCTCTTCAATTTCTTTCATTAACATTTTATAGTTTTCATTGCAGAGATTTTTCACCTCTTTGGCTAATTTCTAGGTACTTTGTTTTATTTGTAGCTATTGTAAGTGGGATTACTTTCTTGATTTCTTGTTCAGATTGTTTGGTGTTGGCATACAGACATGCCACTGATTTTTATGTTGATTTTGTATCCTGCAACTTTACTGAATTTATTAGTTCTGATAATTTTTTGGTGAAGTCTTTAGATTTTTTTCAAATATAAGATTATATCATCTACAAACAAGGATAATTTGACTTCTTCCTTTCCAATTTGGATGCCTTTTATTTCATTCTCTTGTCAGATTGCTCTAG